AACTGGTAGCCCAGGGGTTCGCCCAAAGGTACCCAGAGGACTACACCGAGACATACTCCCCAACAGTGAGGGCCGAAAGCGTCAAGAGCGCCTTAGTCGTTGCATCCATTTTAGGCCTGGAAGTGCATCAATTCGATGTACAAACCGCCTACCTGCACACGAAGCTGGATAAAGAAATCTACGTTAAGGCCTCTCCCAGCAAAGACACTTACAAAGGAGACACGTGGATGTTCAACAAAAGCTTATACGGCCTGAAACAATCCGGAAAGCGATGGTACGAGTGCCTGGTTAAGGTACTCGAGTCTTTAGGGTTCAAAGCAACGCCCGCAGACAATTGCTTCTTCACCAGGAAAAGCAACGACTCCCCAGAGTATGTACTTATCTACATAGATGACATCCTCTACATCGGCAAACACAAGAGGGATTGTGACACCTTTGCAGACAAACTAGGTGAACAGTTCTCCCTGAAGTCACTAGGAAAGTAAGTAAATACCTGGGCATACAGATCAACCAGACACCCAAGGGATTTCGACTATCACAAAAGGAGAAAATCACAGAACTACTCCACAAGTGCAACATGGCCGAAGCCAAACCAAGCGACACGCCCATGCAAATAGACTTCTTGAAAAATATGTACAGTGAGGCCCCAAAGTTCAAGGACAACACGCTATACAGGTCCACCATCGGATCCCTCCTGTACATCGCCAACTGGACTCGGCCAGACATCACCCTGCCAGTGAATTTATTATCCAGACATGTGAGTAACCCAACCATTTCCCACTGGGAAGCTATCAAGAGGGTACTCAGATACCTGAAGCATAGCTCAGAAGCCTATCTGCGGCTAGAACTGGATGCAACCAAACAATCAACACTCACCTGCTATGTGGATGCCGACTGGGCCGGAGATGCAAAAAGTAGAAAAAGTACATCAGGGTATGTGTTCTTTCTGAACAGCAGCCCTGTACATTGGTACACGGGCAAGCATGTCAGGGCATTTATTAATCCCATGTTTGGCTCTGGGACTAATTACCCTGGTTTAGAGTAGATGAATCGAGGCTTATTCCTTGTTGCAATATTCTGAAAAGAAACGCGAAGGAAGGTTTCTAATAAAACTCATTTATTTGTTATAAAGAAAATAAAACACCTCACTAACTAAGAAAAGTTAATTGTTACATTTTTAAAATAATTTGGGCCAGCTGCCTTTTAGCAACCGGCACCCGTGGCAAGAGAACAAAGGAAAAAAATGTGTGAAGGAATGTGGGTGGATGGACATGCGTAGTAGCTTACTGATAAGGAACTTGGCAAACTACAGTAAGTCTATTAGTCCAAAAATAATGAAGCTCAGCTGGGAAATAAAATAACGCAGTGACATTCCCCTTCTTTGCCAGTTGAGCGAATATCAGTTCATCATCAAATAAGGCACATCTTCTCACGCAGATACTCGTGTTGAGCTGCTGGAAGTGGTTTGTTGAGCATATCAGCAATTTGATCATGTGTAGATACATATTGCATATTTTCACTAAATGTTTTATGTTTTGGTAACGAATATCAATGTGTCTGGACCTAGAACCTGTAAAATGAGATTCAGAAATATAAACCACCGATTCATTGTCTTCCATCACGGTGATCGGTCGGATCGGGTGTGTCCAGATATCTGTGACTAAAGCATCAAACCAAGTTAGAGAATTACATGCATCTGAAACACAAGCATATTCAGCTTCAGTAGATGAACAAGAAACAAAATTCTGTTTACGTACTTGCCAATAAACAGGACATCCATTTAAGAACATCCTATAACCTGAAGTACTTTTGCGTGATTTCTTATCACTTGCCCAATCAGAATCTGCATAACAACATAATTCTGCATAATCAGTATGTGTTGGTTCTAACAATAATTTCATGTGTTTGGTGTATTTTAGGTATCTCAGTAATTTCTTAATGCATGTCCAATGAAACTGTTTTGCCTTACCTATGTGTCGAGATAAGAGATTAACACTAAGTGCAATGTCGGGTCTGGTCCAACTACTAATGTACAATAGTGACCCAATGACTGAACGGTAAAGTGTTTGATCCTCGAACTTAGGACTTGCTTCTTGTGTCAAGTTGTGAAAATCTGTTTGCATGGGTGTCTTTGTTGTGTTAGCATCTTTCATGTTGCAATGATGCAAAATTTGTTCAATTTTATCTTCTTGTGAAAGACTAAACCCCTTCTGTGTTTTTTCAATCTGAACACCGAAATAAGTGCTAATGTGACCTAATGATTTCAATGTGAAGTATCTCTGCAAAGCTTTGGCAAAAAGTTCACTCATTTGCTTATTTGGACAATATTAACAATATCATCAACATAAACAAGAACTATCTCATATGCATCTTTTTGTGAACACGCACTCATCAGTTTCGGACTTAATAAAGCCCATTGAATTTAGTTTGTCAGTAAGACATAAGTACCACATTAAACCAGATTGTTTCAGACCATAAAGACTTTTGTTTAGGAACCAGGTATCCCCTTCTTGCTGTCGGAATCCTGGAGGACTTTTCACGTAGATCTCTTCATCTAGGTCTGCATGTAGATAAGCTGTGCCAACATCAAACTGGAAAACTTCTAAACCAAGGATAGTTGCAGTTGCTAAAGCAATTTTTACACTCTCAGTTCTGACTGTCGGTGAATAGGTATTTGTGTAGTCCTCAGGATAACGTTGAGCGAAACCCTGAGCTACAAGTCTGGCTTTGTACAGTGACTCACCATTTGGTTTCTTTTTGATTCTGTAGACCCATCAAGTGCCAATGACCCTTTTGTTTGCTGGAGGTTTTGCAGGTGTAAATACTTTAAGTTTCTTTAGACTGTCCATTTCAACCTGCATTGCTTCATACCATTTGTCTTGCTCTGAATCAGGGAGCTGCTTGATTTGCATGAAATTATCAGGTGGAAGTGTAACATTGCAAATCAAAGGCAAGGGTGCTTTTGTCAGTTGCCAAGAATATCGTTGTGGAGGGATTCCTTTTGTGGCCCTCGTGGAACGTCTCAGAACAACTGTCCAGTCTTCTTCTGCTTCGTCCTCGTCCTCACTTTCATCGCTAGCGTCAGCATCCGCGGCTTGCGAAGACGGAACATCGGGTTGAGAAGAACCAGTGGAATCTTGATCATCAATCTGCGTGGCATCAGCAGTATCATCTCTGGTAAAATAAACTCCAGGATCATTGGAATGAATCCTGGACCAGTCAATATCTTCTTCAAAATTAGCAGATTGGGAAATCACAATTGCATGTTTAGAGTCAATAAATCTGCTCCATTTTGAGTTATCATCAATACCCATAAATCTCAGTCTCTTTGCTGCTGGACTTCCTTTTCTTCTTTGAGCTAAGGGAATGTTCACCATAGCATATGAACCAAAAATATGGATGTTTTTAAGATCGGGCTTGTAGCCATACAACATGAAGAAAGGAGTCTGATTTGTTACACTGCTCCAAGTACGGTTTACAATGTAATTTGCATACTTGATAGCTTCACCCCAGTATATCATATCAAGGTTGGCGTCTTCTAGGAGACAACGCATCATGGTTTGCAGTACCTCTCCGTTGTGAGCTGATGTGTCAGGGGCCAAAGTCTGATGAATAATTCATTCTTACGCATCCAGTCCTGGAAACGCTGAGACATGAATTCGGCACCACGATCACTCTGGATTCTGGCGATGCGAACTTGGTGTTGGGTAGAAACAAGGGTTGCAAAGTCTTTAAAGATCTGAAAAGTCTCTGATTTTTCTTTCATAGGATATACATATCCATATCTAGAGTAATTATCAACAATTGTTAGAAAATATTTTCTACCACTAAATGATGGCAGGAATGGACCAACTATGTCAATGTGAACCAAATCAAAAATGCGTGTTGACAGGCGTGTAGCGCGTTTGGGAATGGCTGCTGCTTTGGATTTGGCCTTCTTGCATACAGCGCAATCCAAAAACACCTTACACCCCTTTAGATCCAAACCTTTTGCGAACTCCGGTATCTTCCTAAGAACACGGAAACTGGCATGCCCCAATCTTCTATGCCATTTGTGGATACACCTGGAATGCAAAGGTTTACCTGTTAGTGAATTCTCAACATTAACATTTTTATGCGGAACCTCAGGCTTGCTCTGAGCAACCTGTTTACCAATTCTATTTTTGTTGGCTTTAGGAGCCTTTGGAATAGCAACAGGATCTCTCTCTGGAGCATCTCTATCTGGGCCTGTGCCTTCCCTTTTTGGAGTTTGCATACTTGCCTGTGTTTGTGTTTTAGGCTTTGGCTTTAAGTAATAAACACCACCAATTAATATGGTTTCAGCAACAATATCTCCATCTTTAACTATGTAACTTGCTTTTTCAAGGTGATGAACTTGGAACTTTAACATTCTAGACAAGTGATACTGACTAAGCAAATTACAGGTTGCTGTTGGTATGTAATAAACATCAGGAATGAATGCATCGAGCTCTTCAACATAAACAGTTCCTTTTCCTTTGACCTGACAAGGATGATTTGAAAATGAATAAAGTTCACGTAGTTCTGGTTCAGGCTCATGCATCTCTGTGAAAAGTTCCTTTCTGTAGGTAACATGCAATGCTGCACCACTGTCCAAAGTCCACAGGAGTCGTCTGTCGTACTCTGGTTGAAGTTGTGGATCATTGGTTAAAGCCAATGTGGCGAGTGGAGTTTGTGGATCACGCCGGGGACCACGACGACCTTGTCTTCCGCCTCTGCCTCTGCCTCTGGAATCTGTTCCTCTGGGCTGGTATGTGACGGGAGCTGGAACTCGTTGGGGACAATCCCGGGTGGCATGTCCCACATGATTGCAGGTGTTGCATCTCGGCATCCTTGGAGCATAGGTCCTTCCTCGGAAGGGGCGCCTAGCTAGAGCTCTTGATGCGGGTGGTCCTCTCAAGTGTGGTGTGGCCAGCATGAATGCCTCTTCTTCAATTAAAAGTCTACAGATATTGTCCACTGTGCGTTGAGCAATAGGGACTTGGTTAATTTTTGTAACAGCATCTTTTCATTCATAATTCAAAGAGTTAATAATGATGCTGATCATTTGAATATCTTCAATGTTATGTCCTCTTTCTCTCAATTCTGTTCTCAGTCCTTTCAGTTTGGTCAAATGTCCTCCAATTTGTTCACCAGGTTTCAATCTCGAACCGTGGAGTTCAGACATGAGTAAACATGAAGATTCAATTGAGATAGGCCTGTAGCAATTTTCCAATTCAGCCCAAATTTGTCGGGCTGTTGTGTTTGGTGGAAAAGTGACCTGCAGTTCAGTATCCATGGACATCAATAATGTTGTATGAGCTCTTATCTCTAAATCTCTTATTGCATAAGTCCAAGGTTGAGCAGGAGGGTTAAAAACCATAAAATGAGTGCCTTCTCTAAGAAGCAATAGTGTAATCTCACTGACCCAGGCTTTGTAATTGTGTCCTGACATTTTTAGTTTTGACTCACCAGTTAGTGGAGAGACAGAAAATGCCTGGTAAGGAGCCTGCACTTGGTATGCTGGCTGTGCTGGCAGAAATGCCTGTGGTATTTGCTGTGCCTGTTGTGGACCTAAAAATGGTCTTGGTTGTGCCATTGGAGGTGGGCCAGGAGGTGGCCCTATTTGCACTTGTGGCTGGGGCACATATGCAGGCATTTGTAGCTGCTGTGGCTGATGCACTGGAATCTGCTGTATTCCAGTTGCCATTTGTGCTTGAGCTGCAATATTGGCATGACCTGCTGGAGATGCAATCATTTGCCTTTGCTTCATAAAGCGTGCCTGTGTTCCATCTAAAAAGGCACCATCACCACCAGGGGGTGTTGGAGTTTGAGCCCGTGGAGACACTTGTGGCGTTTCAGCTTGAATCTCTGAGTGAGTTAGAGACAGGTTTGCCAGGGTCTGCTGTAGTAATTTAAAATGTTCATCTAAGCTCCTTTCTCTTTCAGCTTCCTGTAGTAAATTACTTTTGCCAGCAGATGGCGCTGCACCTTTAGCTTCGGGCAGCTTTGCATACGGGGCATTGTATGCTTTTGAGTAGGAGTGGTTATGTAAGACATGTGTAACTTGATCAGGGAGACTTTCATGTGACGTATGCAGTGCCCTCTGGTCTGATTGGCCTGACACAAAATCCACCAGGGGGAGTGTCTTTGGCTCTGAGGAAGAAGACAAGATGGCCTCTTTTGAAAATCTTAAGTCACGGGACTCTGTCTTTTCTTGTTCCAGCATAAACAAATCTCTCTTAAATCGAGACAGTTCATTTTCATAATATTTTACATGCTCACGATAGGATTTGATGGCCATCTCATGCTGGGTGAGCTCAGGGCTTTGAGAAGAATAATGAATTACTTCTCTCTCTGCGTGGGGGTGAAAAAGCTTTGCCGTTTGTGGAAACTTTCTTGGCCTGGCACCAAGCACATCGTAATCTGTGGGCTCTGGTAGAATAGATTCATAGCATGCAAATTGAGAAGAAAAAGCTACCGACCTCAGTCGCAGTTCATTATCTTCAAAAGCAGCTGTTCTGATATCTGTCCTTTGATGTGTTTCCGAAAGCATTTTCAGATCTTCTTCACCCATGGCACCTTCTTGTTCCAATTGCGTAGCCGTAGCAAGAGGCTGGAATCTTGAGGGCGTTACTATCTCCTGTTCTTCTTCCAAAGAGGATAAAGCTCTGTGCTTCATTTTTCCTTTTTTCTTCTTCTGTTTCGGCATCTTAGCAAAATAATTAGCATACCTCAGTAGCTAAAAACTAATTGCCTATGCGCTCTTATCAGAAGTAACAAAACAAGGAAAAAAAAGCCATAAATCAAACCATCCTCGTGCTATCAGATGTCAGGGCATTTATTAATCCCATGTTTGGCTCTGGGACTAATTACCCTGGTTTAGAGTAGATGAATCGAGGCTTATTCCTTGTTGCAATATTCTGAAAAGAAACGTGAAGGAAGGTTTCTAATAAAACTCATTTATTTGTTATAAAGAAAATAAAACACCTCACTAACTAAGAAAAGTTAATTGTTACATTTTTAAAATAATTTGGGCCAGCTGCCTTTTAGCAACCGGCACCCGTGGCAAGAGAACAAAGGAAAAAAATGTGTGAAGGAATGTGGGTGGATGGACATGCGTAGTAGCTTACTGATAAGGAACTTGGCAAACTACAGTAAGTCTATTAGTCCAAAAATAATGAAGCTCAGCTGGGAAATAAAATAACGCAGTGACGAAATAAAATAACTTAGTAGCGATGTTCACCACCGAAGCTGAATACATATGTCTGTCCAAGGCGGCCAACAACCTAACTTGGTTTGACGACCTACTCTCCAGCATCTGGGCCAAACCCTCATACCCAATAACCATCTATGAAGACAATAAGGCCGCCATTGAAATATCCATGGCAGACGCTGTAGGACAGAGGTCTAGACACATAGACATCAAACACAAACACGTAAGACAATTCTCCAAGGTAGGGTTCATCAGCACCATACACTGTGACACCAAAGAACAAACTGCTGATATACTCACCAAGCCATTGCAATCTAAGCAACACTCTTACTTAACATCCAAACTAGGTGTTCACTTTAACAACATCCAACTACAGCATGCAGTACACTCGCAGGTTAGACATTTAGAGGGGGATTTGTCAGTCATACCTGCTCAATATACTCCCCCTAACCTGGCACCCCAAGGGTTAACCCAAGTACCTCTGGTCCCCTCCCCTTCCCCTGAGCACTCCTTACCTGAAGCTCCGCCCCTAGGGTACATAAGGTCGCCCCAAGTCGCTCCAGTCATTGTAGTTGCTGATACTTGTAAAGAGAAACATCTGTAAATAAAGGATGATCTGATTCAATCCAGAATAGTGTCTTTATATGTTATTGGGTCCTTCCTCGATCCTTTCACAACATTTTTATTGTTGGAATTTGGTTCATTGAAATGCAAGCAAGCAATATGAGTATATTTAAATTCATGATGCTGGTTTAGGACCTTAATAAATTTTAATTAACTACTTAAATTCAGTCATATATTTATTTTGGGCTAATTGAAATGTACCTGAAAGTTTCTCAGATCTTTTTTGTAAGCAACTGGAATATTTTCCTATTTTCTTTCCAACATTGACTTTAATAAAGCATTATTTAATGCTTTATTTATACTCCTGTTTCTTTTATTAATGTTAATTTATGATTCCTGGTGTTTCTTTCATCTGGATACACTCTGATGTTTTTAGTGCAAACTAAAAGGACCTACCACATCACTCTGCAAAGGTTTGCATTCCTGTCTTTTAAGCAACTTAACAACATTGCAATTATTTAGTAAACAATTAAATCTCACTCTGTGAAACAATTTGCATTTGCAAATCCACGGATGAAAACACTCTATTTTACTTTTATAGTCTTCTTCCTGAAGTCACAACTCCCCTGTGTTTCCCTCCTCCTCCCCCTTTTTTTAAAGTGGGGTAGAGTTGAGAAGATTCACTTGAGGCTATTGAAAAACTCAAATCAAGTGATCAGTAGAAAATACTGTAAAAGATCTTTTAACTAAATAGCTATTTTCATAAACCTATATTAATAATTTTGAAAGCTTTGATTGAGCTGTACTGCAGTTTTCACCAATTAATCTGAAACTTGTTTTCCTCTTTCTTTTTTCTTTTCAAAACAAACAAGTGGCTACTGGAATCTTTTAATTTAGGATGAAACTCAATTTTATATGGATTTCAACCAATCAGATGGTTTGCATGAAAATGGAGAATAGGCTCATGGTATGTCAAATTTCATGTGCTAATGGAAATTCTAGGATTTAATCTGAGCTGACATTCAACAGGGTGCCCAGAATTACTTTTCACAAAGCAACTACCAATCTAAAAATGTAAGGTAGGGAAGAATGAGCAAGATGAAATAAACCATGGTTTATCTCATGGTCTTTAAACTCAAAATTGGCTGGGTGTACTCAGTATCTAAGATTATAAACCATGGTTTTCAAATTATATATTGATTCCTGCAGTATTCTAAGCAAAAAATAAAATAAAATCAAGCGGCGGAGTGAATTCAGTGCATATCCCATAAGAAGTATATGGTTGTTTGGTTTTACCTAAACTTGTTATATGAACTAAATATGTTTTGAAATCATAATTTATTGCAGTTCATTACATCACCTCAACCACTGAGGCTTATCATACAAACCATAATCTAATACCATATTTGATCTATACAGAGGTTTAAGAGCTCTAATTTTCTTTTGCAGCATTGATATTCATAGCATCTTATAAATTTATTTATAATTTAAATTCACTGGTAATTACTTGAGTTTTATCCTGATTAATATTTACAATTGAACATCTGAAATAAATGGAGTTTAATAAATAAATAAATGGAGTACACCAACCAGTACGCTCCCACAGAGTGGGCCTCCTCAGGGTGCCGTCAGTAAAGCAATGTCGACTGGTGGTTCCTAGGGGGAGAGCCTTCTCTGTGGGGGCACCTACCCTTTGGAACAGGATACCCCCCAGGGATACGAATGATCCCAGATCTCCGTACTTTCCGTCGTGCACTGAAGATCTTTCTGTTTCACCAAGCCAGGCTGGCATAAATTTTCAAAGTGTCTAAATTCTATGCTGAGGATCTTAACTGATGAGCCAAATTGGTTTAATTATTTTAAATTGTTTTTATTTCACATTATATGTATGTTATTCTGACTGTTCACCGCCCTGAGTCCTTCAGGAGAAGGGCAGTATAAAAATTAAATAAAAATAAATAAATAAAAATAAATATAATAATAATAAAATAATAATAATAATAATAATAATAATAATAATAATAATAATAATAATAACTGAACTGAATTTATTAATTGAAAACACAAAAGAATTCAGCCAAGACATTGGTATGCAGTTTGGAATTGACAAATGTGCAACAATAGCAACCAAAGCAGGCAAGATCATAGAAGAGGATGGAATAGAACTAGAGAATGAAGAAATGATAAAGGCAGTAAAATCAGAAGAAGGCTACAAGTACTTGGGGATTTTAGAAGCCTCTGACTTAATGCATAATAAAGTCAAGGAATTAACTTCAGCCAAGTACATTCGGCGAATTCGTAAGATATTAATGTCCAAATTGAGTGGAGGAAACATCATAAAAGCCATAAATACCTGGGCTATACCTGTGATTAGATACTCTGCAGGAATAATTGACTGGACCCAGATGGAGTTAGACAATTTGGACAGAAAAACAAGGAAGCTTATGACAATGAATCATGCCTTGCACCCTAAAAGTGATGTTGACCGATTATATTTACCAAGAACAGAGGGTGGTCGAGGACTCCTACAAGTAAAGCAGACTGTGGAAGAAGAAAAATGCAGCTTGAATGATTACATCCAGAAAAGTGAAGAACCAATGATTAAGGAAGTAAATAAAGGAGGCCTTTTAAAGACAACTAAAACAAAAGCAGAATATAAGAAAGAAGTAATTGAGCAGCGAGCTGAAAATTGGAAACACAAAGCTCTGCATGGCCAATACTTGAAAAGTATTGAAGGCAAAGCTGACCAGAAACTAACTTGGAACTGGTTAAGATCAGGAGTACTAAAAAAAGAAACAGAAAGCTTTATTTTGGCAGCTCAAGAACAAGCCCTAGCCACAAACTGTATGAAGGCAAAAATTCAACATGTTACCACCAACAGCAAATGCCGCCTCTGCAATGAGAAAGAGGAGACAGTTGACCACCTGATCAGTGGGTGCAGCAAAATTTCACAAACTGACTACCTACAACGCCATGACCGTGTTGCTAAAATCATTCACTGGAAATTGTGCCAGAAGTTTGGATTTGAGTACAGCAAAAACCATTGGGAACATCAGGTTGAGAAAGTTTTAGAGAATGAGAAACTCAAGATCTTGTGGGACTTTAGGATTCAGACTGACAGGCACTTGGTCCACAACACACCTAACATAACAATAGTTGAAAAGAAAAAAGTATGGTTCATTGACATTGCAATACCTGGTGATGCACGAATTGAAGATAAGCAGCAAGAAAAAATCACAAAGTACCGGGACTTACAAATTGAAGTTGAGCAACTGTGGAAAAAGAAATCGTGTGTTGTCCCGATTGTAATTGGAACCCTCGGAGCAATACCCAAAGGGCTACCCCGCTATTTAGAAATTCTAAATTTGCCGGACTTGAACATTTTGACTCTACAAAAAACCACCTTACTCGGAACAGCTTACATCCTCCGACGATACCTTAACAGTTCCTAGGTCCTTGGTTAGGACTCGAGCTGCTGAGCTATTAACCAGCCTCAAAAGCTGTGAATCTCACTAAAGATTAACCAATAAATAATAATAATAATAATGAAATCCTAAATATTTAAATAGGTTTATTCTAAGATGTATAACATAAAGCTGGGTGTTCTTTTTAAATACAACTACTATCTCGCCATTACCACTACTATGTGTGACTCAGCAAAACCTTAGTTATGCTAGTTACTCTTTTAGATGGGCAAAACTGAAATTTAGGATTTTGCAAATATACAAAGGATGGTTGCTTTGAGTCTGAGTGACATAGTAAACCTTAAAGTGGGAGAAGACAATATGATAGTGGATGGTTATTATGTGGTCAATATATATATATATAAACCATCCTAGACCCTGGATTCTTCACTCTTAGACTAGCACATCACATTGGCTCTCATATAGATTATTCACAGTGTTTGGTTTACATGATGCTTTAAACCAGAGGTGGGAGATTATGGCTCTTTTATGACTTGTGCACGTCAACTCCCAGAATTCCTGAACTAGCATAGCTGGCTCAGGAATTCTGGGAGTTGACATCCACAAGACATAAAAAGACCATAGTTCCCCACCCATGCTTTAAACAATCTTCTAAATAATTTTATTTTTTTTATTTTTTTAAATTTTAAAAACAAACTTTATTAAGTTTATAAATATTAAAAAACAAAAAAAAATATACAAATTTTTCTCAATCATAAAATTACATATACAATACACAGCACCACAAACAAACTAAATATATGTAATTATATATACACACATATATAAACAGTGACTTATTACCTATTCTATCTACCTGACGGTGCTTATTTATTTCATTTGATTTTCCCTGAATTTTGTCTTTACCCTTTTTTCTTTTGATTTATCCACTTCTACCATCTATTCCATACTTTGAAATATTTTGAGTCTTCCTTGTCTTTTAATTTTAAGGTTAATTTATCCATTTCTGCACATGCATAAATTTTTTGAATTACCTCCTGCTCCGTTGGCAAACGATCTGTTTTCCACAATTGTGCTAGTGCCAGTCTAGCCCCCGTAATAATTATATGTAGCATTAAGTATTTTATGTCCTGTCTAATGTTCCCTTTGATCATGCCTAATAAAAAGATTTCTGGTTCTAATTCAATTTCTTGGTCTATTATTTCTACTATCCATGTTTTTATTTTCCTCCAATATTTCTTGATTTCCGGGCAAAGCCACCAGGTATGGAAGAAAATACCCTGATCTTGTTTACATTTCCAACAAACCAGATTTATATTCGGGTACATTTTCGCTAGCCTCGAAGGAGCTAGATACCATCTGTACCACATTTTATAATGATTCTCCTTATATGCTACTGATTTTGTCATACTGTAATTATTTTCCTATGCCCTTTCCCATTCTTCTAACTGTATACTGTGCCCAATGTTCCTTGCCCATGCTATCATCTGTCCTTTAACCAGTTCTTCTGCCAAATCGAATTCTAGTAAGTATTTGTAAATTTTTGAAATTAATTTTTCTTCTTTGGATTCTAATAATTTATCTAATCGGTTTGGTTTTGGATC